TTCCATTGCTGATGGCCCAGTTGGTGAAGTTGAGCACATGGATGACCTGCTGGGCCAGGATGCTGATGTCCCTCTGTTGGCTGAGCAGCTTCATACTCCTCTCTTTGGTCACACTCTTTACATGGTGATAGAGGGAATAAAGAGGGGAGAGAAGAATATTATGAATGACTGAAATGAAACAAATTCTGGTCCTCAAAATGATGAACTTGCTAATGCCAACCAAGGAACCATTAACGTCACATGCAGAGAAGCAGGATAATGTGATCAGTTTCCAGAACAACAAAAACTAGACTAGTGCAAAACAAAACTGGATAAAACACAACCAAATCACCAGTGTTGTTTTAGTATTGTTTTTTTTTATTAAGTATTTATAATTGGCTTTTTTTTTTATATTTTTCATTTTCATTTTAGTGTAAGTTTTAGTAATTATGTTACGCACTTTTGTCATTTTTAGATTGTTTTACTTAATTCCTTTTATCTTAAATTTGTTTTTATTTCAGTTTTTGCTTAAGTACTTATAACTTATTTAGTCCCAAAGCAAGTTTACATTTTTTCAAGTGTTTTGAAAAGTTTGCCAACTAATATTTATATTTTGTAACAGCTTTATTTTGTTTACTGAAAATGATTTTAATAGTTTTAGTTTCCAACAACACTGAAATGTACAATGTGGTAATATGACAGACATTCAGATGTACATCCTGTTTCCGTGTATGTCAAGTTGCACACTTTATTTTCACAGTTTATACTCCATCCATCTTAAACAAAATCTAAAAATGAAGAATTTTATTCATTGTAACACCTCGCCAGTACATCAAAACAGTAAAGTAGCCTGTTATGTCACTGTTCTGCTCTCAGGTCAGTGGAAATTAAATGTGGGCAGTTTCAGACGTCTGGAGTCAGAAGACAATCCACATGAAATCTGTTCACAAGCCGTCACAAATGACATGTTTTTACCAGGTATCTGTCTCTGCTGACCACTTGTGATCAGATCACCAGAGATGGGCGTTAACATCAGTAGGGCCTTTTGATTTCCACGATGTGGAAAATGCAGACGGAATCGCGGAATCTATTTATAACAATGGAATTTACTGTACAACGGAATGTCACGGAATTTGCCAAATTTGGGTTGAATAAATCAAAAGTAGGTCAGTACACTTAAATCAAAAACACAATCTAGACTAGTGTCTCTGAATATTAAGCCGTAAAAATACAATTTAAATATGAATCCTGCATGTTCTGCGTGTCTCTGTGTGAATGAATGGCGCAGATGCATGATTTCACTTACTACATACATATTGAAGCGAGCGTGACCCTCGCAGTTTTTTAGCCACTGCCGCTTCAAAATATGAGTACATGAACACAATCTCCAGAGTTGCTCTAAGAGTCACTTCATAAGCATTTTACCATTTCTTTTGAGAAAACTATTGTCATATCATATACAAACAGAAACTTAAAGGTCTTCACAGCAACCCAGTTGCCACAGTTCAGTTTCAATTTAAAAAAACGGTGACAGAAACATATTACTTAATGTAATGATAGTACTTTCTGCTACTACCACTAATAAAATTATTATTAAAAAAATATTTTTTAAGGAATATTTAACAGAAAATGTATTTACCAGAATTTATTAACCAGAAAAATATAAATACACAACACAGCATTACTGAAAAAAAAGAAAACAATAAAATTATAATAAATATATATTTTTAATAAAATCAATTTATTAAAGATGCTTTTGATTATTACAATTTAATGAAACCTTTAAAATAAAATCTTAAATGAAAATAAATGGAAAACACAGAATTTGAGAAAAAAATAAAACTTATTCCAAAGGGCCTTAAAATTTAAATTTTTTGATAAACTTTTAATACATTTCTGTTAAATTGTGTAAGTTTTATGATTTCAATTAATTAGACATGCTTTTTGATACATGTTTTTAATTTAACCATTAAAACAGAGTCTAGAAAAATGAAAACAGTAAAAAAAAAAATAGAATTTGGTTGTTGTTGTTGGGGGGTTACAAAAATCTGTTACAAAAAAATGTAACAGATTTCATAGGGCCCTACATTTGGCATAAACATGGACTCTTGCTTAAAGTTTCACCACACTTGAATGGCTTCATCAGTCATGAGATGAGAACAGTGAAGCCTCCCTGAAAATTTTACATCAAACAATGTGACATCTGCGGGACTTGATTCATCACTGACTGGTGTGAATTGCAGTAAAAGGTGCCAACTGGGGCTAAATTGGGTTGAGCCCTGAAGGACAGCGTTGTAGGTATCTAACAAACAGCATTTCCCCTTTCAGCAATCTATTTGCTGCATTTTCACATTTGGCCTCTCTCAAACCATCTGTCTTCTGTGTCCCAACTCTTCCTTGAACATGTCATTCTTGTCCTTCAGATGATGATACATCGTTGAATCGCACTCGGAGGGGTTCACACTTCTGTTTTGCATCATCCATTTCTGAACTCATGTCATTTTGTTCATACCCTAGCAGTTTTGCTCCAATTCACACCTTCAGTAAAGCTTCCCCCAAAGCAATTTGCAAGATCTATGGCATGTGATAAGATTCACACAAGGTGGTTGCTAGAAAAACACAATGACCTTGTTTGCATTAGGTATTACATGCATCGCAGGTGATCCAGTCACAAATGGTCAGCTGAGACAAATCACTGTTTACATCTAGAATTACCATATTGCTCCAATGCATCACCTGCGACCACTCAGGATCAGATTTCATCTCTCAATACATGCATCATTTAATTAACCAAGTGTGTTACCGTGTGTTAAATATGCATAAACCACAAACATGACATCTTGAAAGCGTGTTGTTATTTTTAGTCACACAGCTTTATCAACAAAACTTTTGATATACTTTAATCACATGATCTACATTAATTCAGCAGACACTTTCATCTAAATTGAATTATCTGTGCCTCTGCATAAATGGCTTTTCAAATAGGTAGTTGTTTTGTTTAAAGTTGTAACGAGTCCCAAGTTTAAAAAACCCTTGTTTTATTATAAAGATTGATCGACTGCTATTTTTATTTCATGTCATTTGATCCGGTTCACAAGCGCATTATGATGAAAAAGTGTTTGCATTACAAATGAGATGAAAAAAATATGCGAGTGCATAATCAGCCACCATTTTCTCAGTTATTTGTTATATATCCTAGCTGTCAGTACAAACATCTTTAAACTGGAATTTCAGATTTGTTGCTTTAGGAAATCAAGTATTTGTGGCTTCTAGATGCCTGTACACTTACCTCCAACTGCTGCAGTAGAGATTTGCCTTTCTTGTTGATTTCATTGATGAGTGTAAAGACTGCTATTTTTATTTCATGTTCCACCTTCTTATGCGTTTCAGCAACTTCTTTCATTCTAAAGGGGAAAAAGGGAACAAAATACATTTAAAAGGCTCATAAAAAAGTGCTTCGAAAATAAGCATTCAATCACATCCAGCCACATTTCTTTAATACATAAAATAAGATCTAGAAATTTCATCACATAAAACTGATGGTAAAAATGCAACAGATGTCCTACCTGTTTTGCACCTGAGATGCAGAAAACTCCACAAAGTTTCTCTTCTCTTGCAACTTAGTCATAAATGTCTCAATGATGCCTTTCTGGTTTTGAAAGGCTTCTTCTAGAAACTGGTACCTGCAAAAAAGAGGTGGTAGAGGTGAATATAATCTTGTATGGTGCTTTTATGTTTTTCTGTCTTCTCTGGAGCTACAAACTGTTGTTTCTGGATGATCTATTCCTTTAATGCCATGTTTTTGTTCTTGGTCTCTCTTCATTTAATTTTCTTGCTCAAAAAACGCTTTCATACATTGCAAGAAGATTTTTAATACAGATGAAGTTGGTGTGTGGTTACTGTAAACATTGTGGTCCGGCTGACCTGTGTTCTTTGTGTTCAAGTAGTTGGCAGTCTCTGCAGGTTAGAGTGTCACATGTCTCACAGAAGAGCTTGAGGGCCTCTTGTTTGTGTACTGGACAGAAGACAGGTCTCTGGCCTGATGTCCCAACCGATTCTGCAAGAACCACCAATGTCAAATTCATCTTTTGCTGCTTCATTCCCCCCCCACCCTCAATTCTCTCAGTCTATGACCGCCATATGTTCTCATATGCCTCTTGCCAAACTCAATCAAAATGAGGGAAACTAAGTGGGTTAGCTTTAATGAAAACAGTACAGGCTGAGCGCGCGACTCACTCAAAACTCTGCCTGTTGCCACAGCAACTGTACAACGATTCAGTCTGCTTAATGTGCTAAACAGACACATAGCATTGCTGAAAAATTCAAACTACAACAAGACCACCAGACCAAAGCTGAATCTTTTAGCGTAACAAAAAAAATCATATCGCAACTGCCTTGCAAATACAAGCAATTGAAAATGGAAAAGAATTAGCTCCAAGCACATACCAGAAGATACTTCCTCTTTTTTGCGTATTTTATGGTCCTTAGTGAATTTGACCCGTTGATGTGCTTCAATGCAGGTTTTACAGAGCCACTCCCCACATTCAACGCAGAATCCAATAGCACTGGCATTATCTTCACAGCTGGTGCAAACCTGTTACAAAGCAAATAAAGGATGACATCGCTTAAACTAATGTCTAGAAGACTGAATTATTGACTCAGATGCAAACTGTTGAACGATTGCATGCAAGATAATAAAGCAAAGTTTAATCTAGGGGTGTGAATTAGAGGTCTTCACGGGTCCACTTGGATCCGAAAACTGGAGGTCCGACCCGAGAGGGTTCGGGTCCAAAACTTCGACGAGTACCTCGGACACGGGTCGGGTTCGGTATTAGCGGCCTCGGGTAATTTAAAATAAACATGCTTTTCCCAAATGGACCCGATTAGACCCGAATTCTTTTAAACTATCCCGAATGCGTAGGTTACTTTCACTTTCGTGTTAAGAGAGGAACGCACATAGAAAAGGAGCATACGTTCGTAATCCTCGCACACAGACATCATCTTATAGATATGAGATCCATCAGGAAAATCCCCTCGCTTCATTATGCTGCGTGTTCATGCAGGGCTTTTCTTTTTTGTGTGCAGAAGCCTTTCGCCGGAGATCAGGTTGCAGACAACAGCGAATCCATGATTAGGCTATCGATTTATTTTTTATCAAACTATCAGGTTTATTTTTCAAATCCACTGGTCACAATCGAAAGCGGAGCTCAGAAATACCTTGTATCCATCAGGCAGGCACTAATATAAAGTAACCTAATAATAAATTGAATAAATGTTAAATAAATCTAAGTAATGGAGAAGTGGCCAAATCAGTCAACAGGACACTGGGATTTTTCCTGACTGACTGCGGGGCTGCAGGCTGTACACACGTCAATGCCGTTTACTTTCGGGTCCAGTCGGGTTCGAAAATAAATGCCGTCGGGTCGTGTCGGACTCGGGTCTAATTTCATCGGGTCTGTCTCGGGTCGGGTTTTTTCTTTAAAAAAAATGTATTTATGCACGTCGGGTTCGGGTCGATTCGGGTTGGGTACAGATTTTAGGACCCGAGAAGACCTCTAGTGTGAATACCAATTGATTCAGTTTTTCATGTAAAATGCATGTATGGGATACTTGCTTTAATTTTACATCAGTTATTGATTAATGCAACATTTTTTATTTAAAAGCCATTTTCAGGACTGCTGTTGTTCACTCTAGTTAAATCAATATCACAGGGCTGATACTGACCTGTGTAGCATTCTCAACCGATGTGCTTGTGGCCTCTGAAGTGTCCTTGACAAAGTAATTGTCCACCATGTCAATCTGTTTGTACTCCTGATGGCACACCGCGCAACGCATGACGTTCACTGCACAAAAACGTAAAAAAGAAACAAAGAAAAACAACACAAAGCGTTAGAAAAGTCTTGAAACAAACAGAAGATTGCTTCACCCTTTTATACCATACAGGCAATGCAACTATTTTTAAACAGTCCTCACTTGAATCTAGGGCTGTAGCAATCGATTATTTTAGTAATCGAGTATTCTACAGATTATTCCATCGATTAATCAAGCAATCGGATAAAAAGTCATTTTTCTTTATTAAAGAGCAATACTAAATATACAAGAGATAAGATAGATCTCTTAAAATAAACAACTAATTTGCTTTCTTTTTAGAAAAATAGATTTTTATTGCTGAAATTGCATACATTAATAACTGTGAAAACTAAACCCATTTAATTTATTTAACTGCCAGATTGCATTCAAAATGCAAATACAAATATCTCATTAAAAAAATAAAATGACAAAAATCTATTTCACATTACTTTAAAAAAGTGTAAACAGTACAAACTAAAACTAAGGCATAAATCAAAATAATAGTAATAAAAATAATAATAATACCTAAACATTGCATTTACGTCGTGCAACTTAACTTTCAAGTTTCAGCCTAACTAAAGCTCAAGCATGACATAAGCCTTTACTGTCTTCTTGGAAGGCTTTGTGGCTTTTGTGAGAGGCAAAAATCAGTGGACAGGAAGGTAGCTTGGAACAAGAACAAGAGACCATACACAATTTTTAAACACATTTTTCTGCAACATGAAATTAGAGTTGTTTGGAGAATAAACCCTCTTAAATGTCCCTATACGTACTGGTGGGTGGGTGTGATTGTGTGTGTGTGTGTAAAACTTGTTTTTGATATCCTTCATATTCTGTGTGTGGGTCAGTTCACAGCAGTGATAGAAATTAATCTGTTCCAATAAGTTTAAATTGATTTTTACATTTTATGTGCATTTTTACCTTTATAAAGCCTTTTTTTTTCTAAAAGTGTGCATCATCTTTTGAGTCAAATTCTTACATTTAATCAGTCAATTAGAATAAAAGACATTTGGGCTGTTACCAAAAGCTACCAGAAGCTGCATGGGATGAATTTCCCACACAGAGGGACATGAATGCATTTAACCTGCAGTTACAAATGCATAAATAATATTTTGTTATTTTAAATATAAAACATTGAATACTGATATTTAAAAATATTTTAAAACGTCACTTTTTTGAGACGTCTAATTAAGGTCTTATTATGCATACTAGAAACTTCCAGACAGGTATCTTGAGGCAAGTTGGAGCTAAACTCTGCAGGACACCGGCCCTCCAGGACCGAGTTTGGACACCCCTGGACTAAACGAAGCCTTTGATTTTTTGTATTCGAGTTACTCGAGGTATTCGAGGAATCGTTTCAGCCCTACTTGAATCCCTAGACAATAACTTTATATTATTACCGGAAAATAAAGTAAGACAAAAAAGAAAATGTGTAAAGTGTAAAATGATAATAAATATATTAAAATAATGAACAATGACTTGGTTTATGATATAAGTGTAAATCGTGTTGGTCCAGGAGTATCAGGTTCTATTCCCCATACAATATATAGGCTTTTTTTTTTAAGTGGGTTGTCTGAATGACTAGTTTCAGTGTAAAGGAGGTCCTGAGCAATTAGACTGGTTTCCCGTTCATCTGACCCCAGGTCAGGTACGTTTATTTAAGACACATTGTAGCATTTGTAAACAGCTAGACAGAATGCAACAGAATGGTACTTGGACTAGTAGACTAGTTCAGTGTTTCCCCAACCCGGGGTGCCGTCTGTCGAGAGCAGGGATGTCATGTAAAAAAAATAATTTTTTAATATTTTTAAATTGCTAAAATATAAAAAAAATGCAGCTATTATATACCCCTGGACTAAACGAAGCCTTTGATTTTTTGTATTCGAGTTACTCGAGGTATTCGAGGAATCGTTTCAGCCCTACTTGAATCCCTAGACAATAACTTTATAATATTACCGGAAAATAAAGTAAGACAAAAAAGAAAATGTGTAAAGTGTAAAATGATAATAAATATATTAAAATAATGAACAATGACTTGGTTTATGATATAAGTGTAAATGGTGTTGGTCCAGGAGCATCAGGTTCTATTCCCCATACAATATATAGGCTTTTATTTTTTTTTTAAGTGGGTTGTCTGAATGACTAGTTTCAGTGTAAAGGAGGTCCTGAGCAATTAGACTGGTTTCACATTCATCTGACCCCAGGTCAGGTACGTTTATTTAAGACACATTCTAGCATTTGTAAACAGCTAGACAGAATGCAACAGAATGGTACTTGGACTAGTAGGCTAGCTCAGTGTTTCCCAACCGGGGTGCCGTCTGTCGAGAGCAGGGGTGTCATGTAAAAAAAATCTTTTTTTTAATATTTTTAAATTGCTAAAATGTTCAAAAAAAGCAGCTATTATATAATATCCATTTCTGATGTCGCCAATAATTAGAGATGCACTAAAATTCCGGCTGCCGAAAATTAGTTCACTCCTCAGGATTCACTTTCACGTGGTATGACGCTCTGCGTATTATCCTGCTCAATGCGTGTGTGTGCTCCACTCAGTCGCTCACAGCCCATGGGAGCGCTCCACTCGTATACCGTTCATGCTCATCGGAACAGCAAAGTCCACTCAAAGCGTGTCCTCTGATAATAATAGCTTTCTAGGATTAAACTTTATTTGGATAATTGGTAAAAAAAAAAAAAAATCTCTTAATGTGCGGCAGAACGGAAGATACGCTGTGCGAGATGCGGCTTGTGCGCGCGCTTCAGGTGTGAGTCAGACAGCAAGACGAGACGGCAAAGAGTTGTTTTCTGCAACTTATTGCGCTTGACTCTTTTTAACGTCAAGCAATTCTCTGCTATATGCATCGAACTAAAACTTTGACCTTTTGCAACGTTTTGATTTAAGTAGCCTATTATTAAAATGATTCAGATATCGCACGCCCTTGCGATATGCATATTGCGAAATTTACATTTGCGATATTTCGATAATTTCGATATATATCGTGCAGCCCTACTGACCATCATGATGACACATCCTTAATTGCAACTGAGAAGCTTTAAGAAGACACTTACAACTCTGGAAAAAGTCAAGACAAAAGTATTTTCAGTAATCCAAAAAAATAAAAAATCTGCAGTGGTAATCGCCAATGTAATGGGACTGACCAATCAACAAATAAAAGGGTGACTTCTTTCTACCAGAGGGTATAGACTAAACATTTTTTAACTACAAGAAATCATGCAACTTAAGATTAAAAGATACAAATTCAGAGGCATGACAAAGTTTTTCTCTCATGAATACACACACACACATAATCCTTCCTATAGGGAACGTTGAATTTTTTACTGAGAGTGCATAAGAAATACACAGTAATACTGGCTTCTTATGCATTTAAAATCCAAAAAGATTTTGATTAATCAATAATTCATTGATTATTTCATTCAAGTTTTATTAGCTATTACTGCCACCGCAATAACTACAAGTCTGCTCTTTATGTGCATCTTGCAGCAGCATTTCACCACCAATAATGATCTATTCATAAAACTAATTTAATTCTATCCTAATTTAATTTGAAAACATATTGAGTGATTTGACATGCCCCTCCCCCATTCATCACATGCAACACCCCCCAACTCTTTTCCCTGACAGCCCATTAATCCCCCCACAAAGCCACAGCTAGAACCAGTCCAAACTGGTTTGAGCCAGTTTGCACTGGCTCATACTGCTTTCAGCCGGTTTCCCCTAAGCACCCAGCTGCAAAACCCTGCTGATGATTGGCTGGTGAGAGCAGCTGGAGACACAGTGCACTGAAACACAGTGCAACTCACAGCCGAGTTACTGTGTACTGATATTAACTGGAGGCAGTGATGCATTGCCTGAGGCACATCTATTCATATGCAGAGCCCTGGAATGCGATTAAAATGCCTTATTATTCAAAACCAAGGGTTATGAACCACTATCTTTAATATTTATGATACATTTAAATTATGATTGAGTTCAAAATGGGTGATTTACATTGAAGTTTACAACACAACTGATTTGTTAAGATTCAATCTAGCAAAATTCACAACATTCATATGATAGTGCTAACAAACTAGAGCACATAATGGACATTTTGGCTAGTTATGAGATAATTTCATAAACGTGATGTATATTGACAAAAGTGGGTTACTGGTGTGTACATTTCTTTAGAAGGATTTATTTGCTCTGAACACCAAGGAAAGGCTCCATGAAGCAAATAGAGCAGACTGCTATAGTCAAGCTGAGAATAACAGTTTGACAACTCTAGTTAAACATAGACAACATGCTCTAGTACAACAAAGTGCTTGTTGAGATTCTACAAGCAGCAAAGAGTGTCACATAGCTTTCTCAGTTAGTTTCTGTGATGAGTCACGCTGGTAAACTCCGAGTTAGCTCCCCCTGAACTTTAATTAAACGTCTACAACAAGCCCAAAACAAACCTGGCAAGTGAACGAACCCTTCAATTACTGATCCAAAAAAATGACGAGTAAACTACCAAATAACATAGCTTAAGTTTAGGACATCATTTATAAAAAAAAACATGTTTTTTTTTTAAATCGTGCAAAATTATGACTGTTATAAAACATAAAACCATGTAAACATTTAATACTTCTGAATTTCTTTTTTTTTTTAAACAAATGTCAGTGAAACAAGGTGCTTAACCTTCAGAAAATGTTGATTATCCACTTTAGATAATCAAATTAAATATTATGAGAGTTGATTTTGCATCCCTATTATCAACATTTGAGCAATGCAGTTTAAAACCATGACTTCTGTGATTTCTTTTCAATACAAAACATACTTATATGTACAAAATTAAAAACCGATGGTAACTTGTCTTTACTTATTTACTTGTTTTTGCCTATTAAATTTAGTTAATAAATAAAAACAAAAAGTTGAATATCAATAGTAGGTCCCAAATATGATATTATAGTTTTTTTCATTTTTAAATACATTTAAGAAGTTAAAGACCACTAAATTGGGAATCTTAAGTAAGATAATGATAGATCTCGCTACAAAAAAAACCATGGGATTCATGTCTGTAATGCACTAAAAAAGTAACAACACCAAAGTATAGCCTATTCAATTAAAGCTACAACAAACCTAACAATGCAAAACTCTAATTTATATCGCTACACTGAGACCTGTCCTCAATTTTAATACTTCCGGTCAGTGGAATTCACTTTTTAATCTTATAGCCTGACAAACTATTCTGCAGTGTAACGAGCACTGATCTGATATGAGAATATTGATCTGATGGCATTCTGCAATAACAGTGAAGAGACGGCTTAGTTAAGTGAAGAGGTTTAAAGAGAAATCAAAACCTATGGGTTTATAAATATTCATCTGTGATCACTGATACGGGCGAAACTCACAAAAAATGAAAATAGCATCACATGCTGCAGCTAACGCAGAGTTCATCTATTATTAACTACAGTGCATGGCGCTAACTTATTACAAGAAATGCAAGCATAATGAATAATGCATTGCACTCAGGAGTCAACAGCAAAGCATGTGACCAAAAATCAGGCTGATCATCTCATATCTACGCTGCAGCAATAATGACACAATACAGTGATAAAGCTCCAATAATATCCATAATATCCAATAAAATCCATGCTAAAACTAAGACATGCATCACAAATCGATCACCACAGCATCGCTTCTAGCCTGATTTACAAGCAAAAAATGCAGCATTTGGGATGACAGTGTTCACTGTCAGATAAAACCATTGTGCATGAATGAGAACATGATCTGAGGTCACAGGACGTGACCCCTGCATTATCACATCCTCTTGACTGGTAATAGTTACCTTGTGTGTTTAACCACGTTAGTTCACTGGTGGCACAAACATACCAACAGCATCAAATCTGATCATCAATAATACACAAACAGTGATGCATCCAAACATCAGGACCATATGCCTGATCAACTAGACCAGCAACTGTTTGAGCTTGTCCACTGAGAAAATATCAAATATGGTTGCTGCACAAAAAAAAGCCCATCGCTCTGATTGACACCTGCCACATCATTTGACTGACCGTGTATGAGGCTGCAACATCCATACATTCAATATCAAATCAAACAACTCTAGACAAGGCTGACTATTTTGAAAGGTTAGTTAATTCGAGAATCTAGCATTAGTATGTAAAGGGCTTTCAAACTGGGGGCAGCAAGGGAGTGTTGGGGTCTGTGGAAACGTAAAAAAATGGCATTCAGGAGATCAGAGCTGGGCGAGAGTATAGTTTACATTTTGTGACGATATAAACAATCAACAAATCAAGCAGTAGAGAGATTTGCTATATAGTTTATATTGCTTTATATGAGTGTACTGTATGTATGTGAATAAAGTTGGATATACAAATATTTAACTTTACATAAAGAGCTGCGCAATAATATTGTTTACATGTCAATATAATAATATAAAATTGCTAGTGCTTTCAAACGATTAATTGCATCCAAAATAAAAGTTTGTTTACATAATATGTGCACTGTACTGTGTATATTTATGATGTATAAATACACACACATGCATGTATATATTTACGAAAAATATGTTTTGTTTATATATAAAATATTTATATACAATATAAATTATATATGAATATGTACATGTAAATATTTTTTATATATATATATATATACACACACATGTATGTTTGTGTATTTATATACACATCATAAATATATACAGTACACACACATATATAGTGTAAACAAAAGCTTATTTTGGATTAGATTAATCACGATTAATCATTTGACAGCACTAAAAACCGCATATTATTATATATACTGCTATATAGTATTTCATAAATGTGCTATATATAACAGAAATGTTTTGCAACAATAGATTTGTGACATAAGTAGTAGTATACATTGTTTACATAATTTTAAAAAATACAAAAAAGTTTTAAGGCCAATGGCCTCGTGGGCAGTGCGCCGACATGTAGCGCCTTTGCGCTTCGGGCGTCCCGAGTTCGAGTCCCTGCTCGTGGACCCTTTCCCGATCCCACCCCCCCCTCTCTCTCTCTCACCCACTTCGCTTCCTGTCGACCTACTGTCCTATCTAAATAAAAGGGATAAAATGCCAAAAAGAAATCTTAAAAAAAAAAAAAGGTTTTAACTAAATTAATAGACTAAAGAAAGAAAGAAAGAAAGAAAGAACAAAAATGGTACTATGGTGAGCGGGGGGTCTAAATACTGCAAACTGTGCAAAGTAATAAAAACTAAAAAGTTTCCAAACAATATTTTAAATATACTTATCATACTAATTTTTCCATAGTATAAATTGGGTCTTTATGCATAAAAAATATATGTCTACATTTTAGGATAAGGGTCCCTTGCACATATCTGGAGGTCCGAAGCATCTCAAAGATTGAAAACCGCTGGGTTACAGCATCTATATGCACAAAGGGAATATGCTGCTGGTATTTACCTAACGTCACATGACCTGCTAATCCGTACTTAACTAGTACGTTCTGACAGCTACCTGTATACTAAAATACTACAATCAGTAGGTATAACCATAACTGCATGGGTTAAACACCAAGCCCCAGCTGGCGAGCTCACATATATGATGCCAACATGTTGAGCAATGGATCGTTTCTGGATTGTCGGGAACAGAACTGACAAAGCTCACTTCCCTTTTCCTAACTTACCAATACGAGTGTCCTGTCCGTGGGGCCCTTGCACCGGGATGGTGATCTTTCGCTCCGGCTGCGGGATGCACTTGAGGCAGAAGGAGTGCAGGCAGGGCAGGAGTTTGGGCTCACAGTCGCGGTTCTGGAGACTCTGTTTACACACAGCGCACGTATCCAGTAGGTTTATCGGGACGGCAGGGGTTGAAGAGGAGGAGGTTGAGGATGCTGGTGGAGGAGGAGGTGACATCTCGTTAATGAGAGCGGGTGATGCGCCAGCAGCGGTGCTGTCCGCTGAGGAGGAGGACGGCGGCTCAGCGCTCTCGGCATTTGGGGTCCCGTCTGTAGCTCCGCCGCCGCTGCTGGATGTCGTCAGCGCTTGGGGAACGGTCTCTTGAGACTTGAGCTCGTCTGCGCCTTCCGTCGGGTCCGAGTCGATTAAAATGACGGCTTCTGGGTCCTTTGAGCCGCCGTCTCCGTTATCTTCTGTTCCCGAAGCCTCTACCTCCATATTTGCGGAGCGCTCCGTACAATCTTGGCTTTTGTTGTCCGCCATCTTTGCTCCTCTTTGAACGCCTGACGTTCGACGCGCTCTGAAAATCCGATGGGTTTGACGTCATGCCGTCGCTCTCGTGTTCGTCACTGAGAATAAACTAGACTACAAATAAAATGAAAAGTACAATATTACTTATGTTTTTTTTAAGTATGTACATTGCATATTATAAACTGAAAAAATATATATTTTTAAGCGTCAAATAATTTGATATACGTAAAGTTACATTGGAATTGCAATACAATGTTTTTTTTATTCTTCAAATAGAAAAAAGTTTTTATAAACTTCAATATAATTGATTGAATATTCTGTATTTTATTTAGTATGAATTGCTACTTTTTTTACTACAAGCTAAAGTGAATATCGATTAAAAAAAGTGTCATGGACAATATCTCCAATTTTTGATGCCTCGATTAAATAGAAAGTGTTTGTGATTTTGGGGGAGATCATGACTTGTGTGAATCAAAAACATCACACGAACACATGATAAGAAATGCCACACTAACCTTCATCCTTATTAATAACTCCAGCTGATGTTTCTCTTTCACTGCTCTTTTTCGAAAGTAAGCTTTTGTGGGCGACTAATACGTCTTTGACTATTTTTGTGCATGTTAAAGCTGCATACTCATCAATAAGTTTTACACATAAATAATTGAATAGTACTTTTGAGAAATGTTTACTGGATGATTCGCATATTATGTAGTCTCCAGTGATATCAGTAATCAAATAAACGCTCGTCTATTTTATTCTACCTGGAGCGGGTCGCCTCATGGGGCCAGATCTGTTGACATCACGTGGCTTTTTCTGATGAAAAACGAAGCGTGCGCTTTAACATCAGCAGAAGGGGAAAAACACACATATGCTACCATGATATGTATATTTATATAGTTATAAATTAATAAAATCCCATGTTACAAACATGTACATTAGGATCAATATTTTTTTTAAACAGTCCTCACAATAAAAATTGTTTAAAAAAAGCAATACAGCATCAGTATCAAAAGTTCACTTAAAAGATCATTCCTATATGCAACTTTATTTTGCAGTATAAGCGTTTTAGATTCCGAAGAAACTTGGAGGATTAAAATATTACATATAACCGAATTGAAAATTAATGAGCAGTGTGCACTATTTTTGGAAGATCAAAGAATAAGCAGCCAATTAAGCAAGATGTTAAAAATACCTCGCCTAATTGCAAGTAACCAACTACTGTTGCATGTAAAAATTTAAAACACAGGTTTCAAATTTAAGAAGTTACTTCGAACAAAGTTTAAATAACTCAAAGCAAAAGTTAAATGTTCAAGGCAATACAAAAGATAAACCTAAATGCATTCATTTTCTTTCTATACTACGGTCCAATGCAGGCCACTATAGCCATTTTTTCAGTTTGGCCATGTAGCCTATCAACAGTAATGGCATGAAACAGGAATATAAAGTGACAAGATCAAGACCAAATGTGTTAGCCTGTGATGCTCTTAGATATATTTTGTTTTCATTTCCAGACACATTGGTGGAGTCTTGTTAACTGAGAAACTGAACAATGCAAGTCATTATTTCACCATTTTATTGTATATTTAAAAAAAAAATAATAATAATAATAATAATATATAAATATATATATATAACAAATAAGAGTAGAACACACAAATTAAGAACTAAACGTCCATCAGGTAAACGAATGTGAGTTACTGATTTCCAGAGTCGAAATGGACATCTTGTTTAATTTTGGTGCAAAATCATGAATTATAAACTGGCATATCCTCTGTTTGCACTACAACACTATATTGCTCATTTGTGTTTTATAAAGAATATTTTCTCTGTTCATCATGAAAATGGAACAAAAACATTTTTAAAAAACAATGCCACACTTTGATCATTTGCTTTTACAAAGTCTACACAGTTTCAAGATGGAGTTGAACTGTTTTCATTATTTAAAAGTCCTGTCGAATATTCTCTTTGTTCTCATCACCCTGTTGCTGTTTCATCTGTGCCACTTCATTCTCCAGCTGGACGATGGCGCGCTCAATCTCATAGTTCTTACTAACGAGAGACACCCAGCTGTGGAAACATAAGCACAAACAATTACATCAGAGTTGAGTAAACTAATTGAATTCAACCTTGCTCAAGACAAAATTCTGGAAATGGGTTCCATATAGAAACATAACGAAGTACTGACTTTGACTCAAGTTCTCGTAGTTTGGCTCCTCCAGCCAGCTGATCGTTTTTGCGCTGCCAGTTCAGGTCCTGTATCTGCTTTCTTAAAAGGAGAACAGAAACGCATTGAGGGAACCCTGTTAATAGATAACCCTGTAAATAGATATAACCGCTTCATATTAAAATTAGGGGTGCTCCGATTGATCGGTTACCGATCACTATCGGCCGATAATCACATTGTGATGTTTGATCGGCGGTTTCTAAAAAGGTCGATCTCAAAAAAGCGATCTCAAGCTGATGACGCTGCCGTGAGAGGTTTGGCATGACATGCAGCGTCACCGTCTAGTCTCTGTCCGGCGCGGGTAAAATAATTATAATGCTGAAGGTGAGGTACTCACCTTTATATTTCTTCATTAAATAACTTATAAAGTAATTTGAAAACCTTGTGTGAGACGTAATTTCACAAACAGCGTGAGTGAATCACCGCGCGCGCTCTTTCTTTCTCAAAATATGCAAATGACTTCAAATCACCACACATCGCGTCTGTCTATAAGCGAGCTACACAGTTGACACAGGAATTGTCACTTGCACAATCGAGGCAGTGTCACATCGTCACTAAAGTTTATAAATTGCATTACTTTTTAATTCTTGCCAGTGTTTAACCATTCAGTGCTCGCGCTCTCCTGGAGACTGCGCTCATGCACACTCGCAGCACACACACATAACGCCAGGTTCACATTACTCCATTTGCAGTGCGTATGTGGTGTGTATTTTTTCCGTGCTCCTGTTAACAGATTAATAAAGCGTGCACACTGCACACAGTTGCTGTCCTGCAGTGCGTTCAAGGAGCGGTGCGTCTGCAACAGTGCAGAGATCGTTTCTGCACCTAGTCTAGGTTTGCTGCGCTGCAAGCGCTGAATTAAAGTAACAGCGCATTGTTTGCGGTAAATATGAACATGGATTGACACGAAAATGTAGTAATTACACCATAAATGCATATTATTAATGTCTACTGTATTTCACAGTTAACACATGGCTTTACGGCTATAGGTTTATAAAGGGAAAGATCACTTATATAAACAAGGCAATAATAGATGGCACTCGTGGAGGTAGAAAAAAAAGTTCTTTATGAACCGCAGGATTGCTTGTAATAAAGATTTAAATGCAAAAGAAAAGACAGTAGAGCTGACTATTTCTGTCAATGGTAAGTTTGTGATAATGTAAGAAAAGTAGTTTAAATGTTTTGCCACTTGCTTGAGCAACTTAATATATCAATCTATAAGTAAATGCAAAAGTAAAAAGCATTGAATAATGTGTTGCTTATATTTATTGTGTTTAAACATGTCTGCGAAAGATTGTATTACTGTAGGCTACTATGTAAAAAAAGAATTGCAATGCTGAAAAAGCATTTTCAGTGACAATGTTTGGATTTGAAATCAAAATAATGGATAAATGTTGTGTTTGTAGTAAACAGCCATGGGTCAGGAGTGGACTCCTGTGTGAAAGCAGTCAGTGCTGCTTCCCCTCTCACAAGAGTCACCTACTGTAAGAGTGGAATACCCCCCATTTTCAAAAATGAAATTCAGGCCCTGAATAAACGTCTAAAAATCCTGATTGGAGTATCAATATAAATAGTTATAAATTATAAAAAGAAGGCTTTAAAAAGATCGGTATCGATATCGGCAGATACTGCTTTCTGTGATTGGCGATCGGCCTCAAAAACCCTGATCGGAGCACCCCTAATTAAAATTCACTTCAAAAACCAATTAAATTGTTTGTGCACAACCACAATATACAACATCCACGTGTAAAGTAAATTGCATTGACCTACAAGTTACTCACCTAACCTTCTGCAGTTTCTTTTGTGCGTTTTCAATCATTAAGGCCAAGTTACTGTATCAGACACAACAACCAGTTATGATCAGCATAAAATCCACAAATAAATCTCACAACTGTTTTCATTTTCTATTTATACTGCATCAGTAATGACTTAAATGGCTTTTTAATCCAAAGTCATGAGCCCGCAAATAGTGTTCACTGTATTCAGACTTTAACCCCTTAAATAATAACATACAGATGAAGGTCCCATATTAAAGGAATAGTTCACCCAAAAATTTTAATTTGCTGAAAATATACTCACCCCCAGGTTATCCAAGATGCAGATGAGCTTGTTTCTCAACGTGAACCGATTTGGTGAAATTTAGCATTACAACACTTTCTCACCAATAGAATGGTAGAATGTTAAAACTCCTTAATGATGGATTTGTTTCTTACAAACACGCAGCTTTTCACTTCACAAGATGTTAATTGATGGACTGGAGTCATGTGGATTACTGTGGTGTTTTTATTAGCTGTTTGGACTCTCATTCTGACGGCACCCATTCACTGCAGAGAATCCATTGGCAAGCAAGTGATGTAATGCTACATTTCTCCAAATCTGTTCCGATGAAAAAAAACAAGCTCATCTGCATCTTGAATAACCTGGGGGTGAGTACATTTTCAGCAAATTAAAATTTTTGGGTGAACTATTCCTTTAATATGGGACCTTCATCTGTATGTTATTATTTAAGGGGTTAATTATGGTGAACTATTCCTTTAAAACCCTCATCCGTCCCTCGGGTCATTTTGACCCGAAACTAATTTTTAAAGATTTTTTTTTTTTTGTGATTTTTTTGACTATACAAAATCTGACAATCCAGAAAAGATGCATACCCAAACAAAGGGCTGAGACTGCAGAATGTCCCCAATGCACAAAAAAACTCACATACCCACACACAGGCACACAAACTCATTGAAACACATTGTAGCATGTATGATGTTTCTGCTGGGAAATGACTGTCATTTTGAATTTTTGTTTTTTACTTAACAGTTCAATTTGAGTGATGGGGTGGAGACCAATGAGTTTATATCATTTATATTTTTTTATTTATCTTTTATATTTATTACATCTTTATGAAACCGTATGAATATGCATGTGTTTGGATTAAAATTCAGTATAAATTTCTTTTTTTTTTTACAAAACAATTTTTTTAAATGTTTTGATATATGTCGGAAAGCCTTGAAATATCTGAAAGCTTAATGAAGCCTCAAGTTGGTGTAGTTTTAAAGATTTCACTTTAAGAATCTCCATAGGATTCAATATGCTCCTCTAGTGGCTGTCATCATAAAATGTAATTTTTCCCCACCAGATGGCATCAGAGACACTCAGTGACCTAGGTCTTGATGGATGATCATGTTTAAAGTATAAATATTCAGAAATTGTGTCTTTCTTTGGGGGTTTTTTTCAGTGGGAAAAAAAACCCCAAAAATGTATAAAATTATACAAATTTTCATAAAAATATCCAGAATTTAATGTGGATAACAATTTTTTTTTTTTAAATCACCAAAAAAAAAAAATTTATAAAATAAAAAAAGCCTACATAAATTAGAAAAAATTAAATAAATGGACCAATATAATCTTTCTGGACCAAAAATAAAATTAATGTCTTTTTTGGCCTTCGGGTCCTTTTGACCCGCGAGGGACACTTTTGTTATAGTTTCAGGAGGGATGGATGAGGGGTAAATCAACACAGGGAGTCTGAGTTTCCTGCTTAAGATTCAAATCTTGAATAGTCTGTTCACTCACTCATTAGACACCTTCCATGCATTAGTTCCATACTGGGCCATGAGCTCAAGGTTCTCAATGCGCACTGCCTGGTGCTCCAGCTGGGCCATAGAGTTATTGACACAGTCCTGCCATGCTGTGATGTCATTCTTCTGCCCAGACGATGGAGCAGGAAGCTCATATCTAAGAAAAGCACAAGAAGGTGAGATCTAACCGTAAACAACTCTTTTTTAGGTATAGCTGGATGTGCTCATTATCACATGTAAACTTGAAACTAGCTTAGACCAACTAATGTAGGCCTTCCTGTAGCTCAAACAGTAGGGCATGGCACTAGCAATGCCAAGTTCATGTTCGGTTCCCAGGAAAGCAAGAACTGATAAAAAAAATGTGCACCTTGAATGCAAAGCAAGTTGCTTTGGATAAATGGATGTGTAAATGTAAAGAAACTATCTGTACAATGCTTGTAAGGTATCAACAATGAAGCTAGTTTAATTATTTAAATGTGTGCAATAGATCAGCTTCAATAAAGAGGAACTGCA